GACAGGAAGATATATAGGACTATTTTGATGTGTGAGGACTATTTAATGTATTATCGAGAATTATGGCGCTAGAGAGTTATGGAGCTAGTCCCTTGATATTCTTTAACAGTGACTGTATATGCAAAATAAATCAATTTTTAAAAATCGATGTGAAAAATGCCAATTGTGCCCTGTGTTGAAATATTGACTTGGTGAAATGAAGCCTGCATTAATTAGGATTCTTAGTTGCAAACAACAGAACCAATTTTCACTAGCTGAAGCAGAAAATGAACTCTTTTATTAAAGGACATTTGGTAGCTCACAAATCCCCGAAAGATACAATCAGACTGGGTTATGATTTTCTGGAAACTGTCCCATTACATTGCCAGCTGCTCCACAGGCGCCCTGTTAATATTTCTTTCTGCCCGTAATACTAATGGAACTACTATTTCATTATTTTTATTTTCTACCAACAAAGGGTATGGGATCCCATAGACAGTGCCTTTACTGCTATTTTTCCAAGAAACTCCATCTCTCTCCACCATACTACCAGAAAGAAGTGGTTCCACACAGGATCTCCATCTTTCTTGGTGAAGGTCATATATCTGAAACCCAGGTTGAAAGAAGGCTGAAAAGGCAAATTACTGGCTTCCACCTTGGGGAGCTGGATCAAAAAGCAGGAAGCTCCCCAGTCATAGGAAGGTAGTCACTAAATGTGAGAAATGTCCAAGAAGTAATCAAAAGCTCATTATAGGCATCTCCATTGGGACAGTTCCGAAGCATAAATCTGATAAAAGCTTCCAAATTCGTCTCCCGGAATCTGAAGCCTTTTCCCACTGCTGCATATTCATTCAATTCTCTCTACTTCAATTACCATATCAGATACATTTTATATTCATAGATGCATATCAAAAAGTTTTTTAAAATTATGATTAAGAGAAAAATTTATGTGGTTTAAGAAAATATGCAAAGAAAATACACATACTTTGGTGACAACGTGCCCATATAGCTTTTGACAGGAAGCACGGGGACTTATAGCTTTTGACAGGAAGCATGGGGACTAATTGGACATTATTCCACAATCAATTTGCTATAAATACAGTTCATTTTGAACAAGAATGTTATCTACTATATAGGTGCTTAGGTTGACAACACCACAAGGAAGGTTGTGTCACTTTTCTAAAATGAGTCAAAGTATATAACCAATATATAGAGCATTTCTATAAGATTGTGACTTTTCAAAAATAATTTTTTACCTTAACAAAGGGCTGGAGCAATAGCACAGTGGGTAGGGCATTTGCCTTGCACGCGGCCGACCCGGGTTCGATTTCTCCGTCCCTTTGAGAGAGCCCAGCAAGCTACTGAGAGTATCCTGGCCACATGGCAAAACCTGGCAAGCTACCCACGATGTATTCGATATGCCAGAAACAGTAACAACTCTCACAATGGAGACGCTACTGGTGCCTGCTTGAGAAAATTGATGAACAATGAGAGGACAGTGCTGCAGTGCTACCTTTACCAAAAAAAGCAGTATCTGTTTACTAGGAACACTGAACTGATAAATTGCATTATCTTTGATGCTACAATAGATTTCATGATATTTCTATAAGTGACTAGTGAAAGTATATGCAAAGTATAAGTATGGTAGTTTAGATTCTAAAATCATTCCAAATTGCCTGAATTTATCAGTTAGTATTTAACAAATTTGAATAAGTGGTGCTGAGCATATAATAGAAAAAATTGTAACAGCATCTTCATTCAGCTCTGAAACTACCTTATAAACAAATGTCATTGCATTAAAACAATGATGCAGGAAAGAACTGCAATAGTTAGTATCAGAATTTTAAATTTACTGATTCAAATGAAGTGATCTAATACTTTTATAATGAATAAAATAAAATAATAAGTGATAGCACAGCGGTAGGGCGTTCGCCTTACAAGCAGCCAACATGGCCGACCCGAGTTCGATTCCTCCACCCCTTTCGGGGAGCCCGGCAAGCTACCGAGAGTATTCGATATGCCAAACACAGTAACAACAAAGTCTCCAATGGAGACGTTACTGGGCCCGCTCGAGCAAATCGACGATCCACGGGAGGGCCTTTACCTTTACCTTACCTTAATAAGGATTTATTTTGTTAGTATCTCTGCTACTATCCATTCATGTAGGCACCAAAAAAAATCTATTTTAAAGTACAAAAGTTTACCTCATATATAAATTTCTTTACTTTGAAAAACTGGAATCAAGGAAACCATCAATAGTTTAATCATACATGATCCTATAATAATTAAAAATTATTAAGAGGACTGGAGAGATAATGCAGCAGGCAAGGTACTTACCTCAAATGCATCCAACCTCAGTTTTGATACCCAATACCACATGTGGTCCCTTGAGCACTTCTAGGAATGATCCCTGAGTCAGGAGTGATATAGAGCCAAAAGTAAATCTTGAGCATTGTTTTGTGGCCCAAAACATGTTGCTTTGTGGTCCAAAACAACAAAAATTAGTATAGATCAAATTTTAATGTAATGAAGACATATTAAACATTATGGAAGATAATTCATTAATTTACATTTGTAGATAGTATAAAATTGTCTATTACATCATAAAATTGGTTTATTACATAATGTAATTACTGGTTTATACATCCACAACCAACTGTATAAGTATACACATTTTTCTAGTGATGTGTCTGAAATGAGGGCTGAATTATGAAGTCAAGATTAATGAAATAACCTTCTAGAAATATATGACTTCAGGGGTGAATGTGTGGAGGCATACTTTCAGTTTTGGGGTGCATGGTTTGAATATTAAGTACACTAAACATATATATCTACTATATCGCAAAGGACCATAAATATTCTATAGTCTAGTCAGAAAAGTAGATTAATATGATAATCATCTAATTTCATATATGGAAGCCATTATTCTCAAAGGTGGAAGAGTTTTGTTTTGCTGCTGTAAGTATCATTTACACTTTTATTTGACAGTCCTTAAAATACTCATATAGTTCCTGTATATTTCTGGTGACTGAAAACACTAGAATCTACTTATAATTGTGAATACATTAAATGTCACTGGCACTGGGATATCCCTAAATGAACTTGACAACCTACACAAGTAAAATCACATCCAAACCCTCTGGGCCTGTAATTTTCTTATCAACTGACAACAGATGCACTCAAGTGCCCAATCAAGAAGGTTGACACATGTGTAGCCAGCTGAGAGTGTGTCATCTGCACACGCCACCCTGTTGTACAGACAGGCACCTAGTAGTCTAGAACCCTTGGGATCACCTAGAAAAACTTAAATTTTAGATGGGGTCCTGAGACTCAAGAATGCATTGGTCTGCGCAGATCATCTGGCAGTGCTGGATCAAGGATAGAAGCCACAATTAGCCTCGGCACAAAGTCTGGGCTCTCACCAGCCATGTGGTGTCCCTGTCAGAAGACAAGGCTATAAATCATAGTATCAATTTAGGACAACATATTCTGGCTATGTAACCCAGTAAGCAATTATTCTGTCTCTGATTAATGGGGGAAGGCATCTTGTCCTTTTCAGATTCTAAACTTATACTTTTGCTAATAGGTTTTTATTTATTTTTGTTTTGTGGGGCCATACTTGGCAATATTCAAAGCTTACTCTTAGCTCTGTGTTCAGGGATTACCCCTGGCAAAGCTCAGGGGACCATGTGGGGTGCTCAGGACTGGACTCAGGTCAGCCACGAGCAAGACAAGTGCCCAACCCTCTGTACTATCTTTTTAGTCCACAAATAGGCTTTTAAATAAATTTGTCTTATTATATATATTCCATTGTCTTCAAAACATATGCTTAAATGAATACATCAGTGATAAGGACTAGAATCTTTATTTCTTAATGTAAGAATCTGGTTGTTTTTCTTCACACTTGGATAAATTTTTCATCAGAGCAGCAGAATACTCTCATGTATCTTCATAAAACTTCAGGGAGTTAAGGAAGCTGGATTAGTAGAGGGGGGAGAAGAAAACAGAAACTTGCCCTTAATTTTTAAAGTGCTGTGCTTTGCAGAATGTGGAAGAGTTGCACTGTGGGAAGAATATGGCTTCCAAATAGAACACATTCATGCTTAAATTTAGCCTTACCTTTCACTAGCTTGATAAACAGCCATTTCATCTTATAGTCAGTTAACTATTCAAGTTTCAGTTTTTTAGTTTGCAAGTTTTTAAAACAGTACCAATAACGTCCTAATAGGGTCCCTGAAGGGGAAAAGAGTATTAATACCTGTCGCCCAGTCAGGTATTTAACAAACTGAAGTTCTGATTCTCAACTAAAATAATAAATAATAAGACACATCACCCCAGATTGCAAAAGGATATTATATTAGCCTTCAAATTGTTCAGAAGGATTAGAATAGCTCCTTGGATAAAGATATTTATAGATATAAGCTGCGAAGTGCTATATCTCCTAAAATAGTGCTAACTTAGATAAAGGGATAATAAAAATAGAACCAGAATTTTGAGATGGAACCCTGGGTTGTAAGGTCTAGGTCCCTCAAAGAACTGTGGCATTGGCACTCAACTTACTTGCATCTTTTCAACATTTCAAAGTCCACCATGTCAGCCTCCAAAATATCTTTGCTGCCTACTTAAAGGGTTTTTAAATTTATTTTTTTTATTATAGATACTGACTATACATATAACTTCTACCACAGGAAGGTGTTTCATGGAAAATATTTTACAGGTCTTTACTTTGGGGTGGATGTTTTTCTTTCATCTTCGCTACTGATGTGACTCCACTGGCACATTTTCAGCAGTTTATGATAACTCTTACACGCCCTTGGCGCTTAATGTTCCGTTGATAATTATCCATGAAGTTGATGATTTAAAAAGTCTAAAGTTGAAAGTGCTGTGCCAACTGTACTGCTTTACCAGGAAGGATGAATTTAGCAGAAAGGTACAAAAATACTAGAACAACCTGAGCTTCTGTTCATGATTTCATTATACCAACTTACATCCAGCAACTTAAGAGAAGTGAGGAAAAGAAACAAGGGGAAATAATAAATTTATTAAGAGGCATAAAAATGCATAAACTTATTTATAAATAAAAGATAATTTACCCAGTGAAAAAATAGTTAAAATCCATGAGTAAACTAGATTTTATATTTGAAATAATACACATTTGATCTCTAAAAATTTCCTCCTCCATCATGATCTCTTAGAAGCATAAATTTTCAATGACGAAAGAAAATGTTTTACCAATAATTATGTGTGGGAGGGAAATTTTTCAAGAATTTTCTTTAAAAATGAATCCATGCAAACAAAGTCAGATTATAAGAGACATGGTAAAACCGAAGGCTTATCTTTAGAAAAGTAAAAAGTAAAAATTTCAAACATTTATTCATTAATAAATGAAAAAGCTACAGTTTGATCATCAAAAACGTCAGTATACTATAAAACATTTCAAACCAATGATCGCAATAATTAAATTTATAAATGTTTATTCAAGTGCTAGTAGTATTCAATAAACATTCAAATTCCCATTAAAAGGAACATTATCTATAGACACATCTGGATGGTGCTCTTTCGATTTAACAACAAAAATCATGTCAACAGAAATTCAGTGACCTTTAAAACATTATCTTTTACCTATAAACAATTTTCCACCATCTATATATTTTATTTGTGAGGATGCATGGGCTATTTAACAACAGCAAATGAAGAAGTCCTTTCTATAAAATAACTCTATTACTGAAACAAATACTCAAAAACACAAGGAAGATGAAAAAAGTAACAGAGCAGAATTAGAAAGTTCTTTGGTAAAAACTGCTAATTCCTTACCAAATGTTGGTTTGCTGTTGTGAAGACAAAAAGCACAAAAGTTCTTTGGTGTTTACCAAAGAACTATTTAACAAGCTGAAAAGATTTCATAAACTATGGTACCATGATAGCAATATCGGCTTATAGCAAAGGATTTCTGAAATCAACATCATTTTCTTGACTACTATTGTGAATGAACCTTCCTTCAAAAAGCTCCCTCCTAATTTTGGCCTGAGTCTCAGGCTTCAATAAAAGTTCCCTTATCTGTTTCACTTTGGACTTCAGAATCATTCTTTCTTGATGCAAAGCTTCTTCAATTAAGTTCCGGATTCCAGGACTTGTAGGTTTCTTGCCTACAGAAGAAAAAAATTATATAATATATTTTACATACAAAGGCTAATGAAAAACATTAAATATGGCACACTGATTTATCAAAAGATTAAAAAAACTTTGAAAATGTCGCCCACATTTTATAAAAAAGAATGCATTTTTTGCCAAAAATATATAATTTACATAAAACAAATTTACTATAAATAAAAATCACTGCATAATGCCATACAGTGAAGAAACATAAAGCATTATAAACTCATTATACGGAAAACAATTTCAACAGTAATAATTTTAATAAATTTAATTTAGCACTTGTTAACGTGTGTGTGTGTGTGTGTGTGTGTGTGTGTGTGTGTGTATGTTTGGATCTCAAAAAAAGTAGTCAAATGCCCTGCTAAACAATATAAATGGCAGTATTCCATTTATGGCAAGGCCCCTTTTTTGTTTTTTAATCTGAGTGCATGAGGCATAACCCAATGTCCCCTTCCCTGTTGGCCACAGCTGAGGGTAAGTGACCTTGGGTCATTCTTCTTTCATAGGTTAATTTCCTCTGCAAGTTCAGCCTCCACTTCTGTTCTGTTGTGTTCAGAAATGCAAATATCCACAGATTAAATAGCACAATGCAAGTTAGTTCCTTGATTCAGCCAAAGGGAACAGGGACTCTTCTCGGCCTGTATTCATTTCCGGTTGTTGTCACTGTCAGTGCCATTTCTATCAGTCTCTTCCGTTTTCACAGAGTTCCCATCCCCTGGCTTGTTTTTGTTCTGTGTTTCTTCCAGATACTGCTGGACAGCCTTGACCACTGCATTCTCCACCAGCCTCCTACTGAGCCTTACCAGCTCAGCATCATCGGGCTCACCAACATTCTTATCACCTATTTCCACAATAGAGAAGAGAGGTCACTGAGAGCAAACTTCCACAGAAACTTGGCATGCAGGAATCAGCTAGCTTGGTTAGTTAAAATAGCAAGTGTCCTTCGATCAGGTAGCATGGATCTATAAATCCAAAAATACTAGCTTGACTTTTCATTTGATATTTGCAGAAGCAGGAAACTGCCTATTCCTGAAGACTTCGTTTAAAAAGTAGTTAATTAGCTCCAAGCTAAAAGTACACCAACCCCTAATGCTATCTCACTAAAAAATACAGGACTTTTTTTTTTTTAAATCTCTACAAGGAATTTTAATCTTCTCTGAACCAAGACTAGTTATTACTGAAATCCATGGGCCCATCACTTACAGCCTTTCATGTAAATTTACCAATCTATATGCTCTTTCCTTACTACCAACTGGAAGGTAATCAAGATTTTCCTACTGGTTAATTACATGGATTCACTAACTGCAAAATGTTTGACCAATAAATAGATTGGTAATAAACTCTCAGCATCCCTATGAAGACAAAGGCAATCAGTGCTGCTCGGAACTATCTGAAATAAGTTTATAAAGTAAATATTCCCTTTCATTTTAAAGCTACCACTGCAATTTTAGAAATAAATACACTGTGGACAAATTAGGGTTATAACAGTAAATGATTACGCATTCATGCTATATGGACATTTTGCTTTTCTGCTAGTGATAATCAAGGTTTAATTATTTTATCTTTCATTTTACTGTAAAAGGACTAGTTCTCATATTTTCTTTTGCACATTTCTCAGTCTCCCTTTCTTCTTCGTCACTGGACTTGTCTCTCATGCCCTTTCAATCCTTCATTTTCTTCCATCTAGCTGTGGGTCCATGTGACTGAGGATAAAGACTTTAGAACACCTAAATGTACCTGGCAAATATGAATAAACCTCCAGGAAGTTCTAGGCAGTAATAATAGTAGTGGGGGATTTTAATATTTAACTTTCAACAATAGATCCAGACAGAAGATCAGTAAACAAAAATGAGAATCAAACTATTTTTCAGAGGAAATGGACCTAATACTTTTATAAAACATTATCACCAACTGCAATATCTATCTAGAATATCTATTTTCCTCAAGCACAAATGAAACCACCTCATGGATAATTCATATGTTAGATTCAAAAAATGTCTTAGAAAATATTAAAAGACCAAAATCACATCAAGAATTTTTGCTGCCCGCGAGATATCAATAACAGAAAGAAAACTGAAATACTAAATTAAACTAATATACCTGAACAACCAGTGGATCAAAGATGAAACAAATAAACATAAAGTCTCTTTAAACAAATAAAAATGGAACTATAAGGTATAAAGATTTATGAGATGCAAAAAATGCATTGTCAGGACATAAATTTAAATAGCAAGTAATGTCTACATTAAGAAAAAAAAAAGAGGGGTCAGAGTGTTAGTACCTTGGGTAGGGTTTTTGCCTTGCACAGGGTCAACAGGGGATTGATCAGGCATCCCATTTGGTCCCCCAGCACCGCCAGGAGTAATTCCTAAGTGCAGAGCCAGTTAGTTACTGGGTGTAACCCAAAAAGAAAAAGAAAAGATTCAAAAGAAACAAAATTTATGCATCAAGAAACTGAGACATAACTAAGCCCAAAGTTAGCAAATGGAAAAAAAAAACACATACACCAAAGCAAAAGTTAATAAAATAAAGAAGGAAAACATCAATAAAACTATAATTTTTATGTTACGATAAATAAAATTGACAAGTATTTGAAACTATCAAGAAAAACATAAAAGATTAAAATAAATTAGAATTACTGAAAAGGACATTACTAAGAACAGATGTCAAAGTAGAACTGATGACAAAGAATTATGAGACTACTACAAAAAGTTAAACACTAAGAAAACAGAAAAAAGTAGATAAATTCCTAAAAACTTAAGCTTACTTACACTTAATTGTAAAGAAACAAAATTGAACAGACTAATAATAAGTTAAAATTTAATCAGTACATCCAGCACTGATGGATCCAAACTTAAGAAACCCTTTAACAAATTTCAAGCAATTCTATTCTCAGGAATAGTTGTAACATCATTAACACAATGTATTTACCAATGATTCTATTTTGTTTACATTATATTAGATCTCTGATATCAATCTAGCACTCAGACAAAAAAATCTATTTCTGTGGTCATTAAGAAGAAAAAAACACTGAACATTTTTGTGGTAGCAAAACTATTTTCTAACATGGATAATTTCATTCATTCATTCATCATCCTGTTATTCGTCAATTGCCTCGAGCAGGCCCCAGTAACGTCTCTTTCATCCTAGCCCTGAGATTATATTCAAGGCTCTTTAGGAGAATGAGACCCATCATTGTTACTGGTATTTGGCATATTTGGTACGCCACGGGGAGTTTGCCAGACTCTCCCCTGTGGGCAGGCAACATTCGATAGCCTGCAAGTTTGTCCAAAGTAGGAATGAGATAATAAGATGTCATAAAAAGATGTCCTGATAAGATGTCGCGCGGCCAGGAGCTGGATTTTATAGTCTCCGAGTCTTGGCCGTTGATGGGATTACATGGCGCCAGGGGGCCAGGTGGTGGTTGTATAGCTGTTTATGCTGGAGCGATAGCACAGCGGGTAGGGCGTTCACCTTACAAGCGGCCAACATGGCCGACCTGAGTTCGATTCCTCCGCCCCTCTCGGAGAGCCCGGCAAGCTACCGAGAGTATTCGATATGCCAGACACAGTAACAACAAAGTCTCCAATGGAGACGTTACTGGGCCCGCTCGAGCAAATCGACGATCAACGGGAGGGCCTTTACCTTTACCTTTACCTATATGACATAAATATATATATATAGCTGTTTATATATGATATAAATGAACAAAATAATTTGCTAATTGATGTGACATGAAGGACAGACTCTAGAAGTCATCATCAACCACCCTAATATCTATGTTCCTATTCATCCTATTAAGATTAAATCATGTTACAGTTTTAAATAAGAACAAAAATATATTATAATGCCGTATGAAACAAAGGAAGAGAGCAGTGCCACATTAACAATCCCAGTAAGTTATTTTGAAGATATCAGCAGAACAAATTATAATGTTTTCATGGAAAGACAATGGTTTGTTTTGTTTCATTTTTCTTAGGCCATAGCTGACTGCACACAGGGCTTACTCCTGGCTCTGTACTCAAGGTTTATTCCTTGTCAGGAGATCCTCTGAGGTGCCAGGGATCAAACTGGGGTTGGGTCAACTGAATACAAGGCAAGAAACATATCTCTGTACTATCCCTTCAGTCACTAACAATGACTTTAAATACAAAACCAAATACATATTCCAGGAGATAAACCAGTAAGTAGGGCTTCACTGAAAAAAATTAGCTCTGTGAAAAGCCATTATCAAAACAGTAAGAAAACAAGTCAACGTGGCAGAAAATATTTACAAAAGACAGGCATGATAAAAGATCTATTATCCAAAATATACAAGTAACTTTTAAAGCTTTGCAATAAGAAAATATTATTAAAAAACAGACTGAACACTTTAATAAATACCTTGCCAGAGAAGATATGCAGGCAAAAAATAACCATAAGGAAAGATGCTCCACATCATACATCACAAGAAAAATGAAAATTAAGACAATGATGTATCACTATACACCTCTTGGAATGGCCAAAACAAAGAGCATTGCCAACAATAAATGCTGATGAAGATATGAAGCAAAAGTAACTCTCATTCATTACTGGTGGGAATTCAAAATAGTACAACTTTGGAAAATTGATAATATCTTCAAAACTAAATATATTCTTAACATATGAGTCTATAATCCAATAATTGGAATATAGGTAATAATTAAATATTTAACAACTGGATATTAGTCAAGGAAGTTACAAACTTATCTCCATGCAGGAACCTTCACACTGACATCTATGTTAAAACATACTCATAATTAACAGAACTGAGAAGTAAACAAGACATCCTTCAATGTGTGAGCGAATAAAATGTGGTAGACTCAGATAGTGGGATATCCATAAGCACTCAGTACAATGAGTTTTCAAGTCATGAAAAAACATAAAAAAATCCTTGATGCATATTAGTAAATAAGTCAATTTGAAAAGGCTATGTTCTATGACTTCCAATGGTCTGACTTGCTAGAAAAAG